AAAAAAGAGTATGTATTCAGTGATCTGTGTGCCTTTCAATTTGCCAGCTTGGACTGGATCCCAGTAAAGATTTCTCCAGTGGGTACTCCCACTGCCACGACCTCTAAGCAAAAACGGCTCCCCTAGGTGAAAATTACCTATTTTTGACACAGCAGTGTGGGGAAGATGGCAATGCTGCTGCCCGTACCACATGGTTTCTTTTAGACATCTTCTGTYTTTTAAGCAGTTTTTTCAAATAGATACTGCAAATATTATATTTCATAACTTGGACTATATTGTACACTTACGTGCACCCTTCAATTAACATATATTCTGTCATCTTTTGTAGTAACTTGTTGGAATAGTTTGTTAATGACTATTCTCAAATTAGAAAAAATAAGTTATTCTAATAAAGAAATTCAATTGTTCATTCGACACATTTTCGATCATAGTTTGCATGCATCTTTTTCCTCCAGGAGTTCCTTAGTAAGAGATGAAAAAAATAAGGCCACACTGAACAAGCTTTCTGCAGACATTCTTCCTTGAGTGTCACAAAATTACGTGAAAGGCATGAAAAATACCAACCAAAAAACCCAAACAAAAGCATCCAGCTCCTCCAGGACTGTGGCAGTACTGAAGACAGATGTTACAGAGCTGGGAAAAAAAGTATGGATTAGCAGGGGAAAAAAAACCCAAAACAAACAAAAAACCCTCCAATGATATAACATACATATGAGGCCACAACTTTTGACATTTCTGCAGCATCTCTCCACAACATGAAYTTTACTACTTGATGTACCTCTTCTTCCTGATTCTAAACCCCTCCAAGAATAAAGAGTATTTTTAGAACATTTGATTGATGCATAAATATTTCTGATACCTTTGATGTAGAAGACTAGTTCACTGTKTGATTGAGACTGAAAGAAGCAGTTTTAAATAGTCTATCAAATGTAATAGAGGAATTAAACATGAAGTCAGTTTTGTTAATATCTTTAAAGAGTAATAGAGTGCTTTGAAGCTTACATTTTATATAGGTGGAAAACACCTTTGACTGTCAGTTGTGTTAATGGAGAGAAAATTTCTAATTGTTCTCACCCCTGCCAAAGTGTTGTGTTTTTTGTTTTTGAGATTTTCTTTCAAGATACAAGAACCATCACGTTTCTAGCACATACGTAATTAATTTTTAAGAGCAAGTTTAATTAACTGGTTTTATTGAAGTCCAAATTTCAATGAACAGATCTGTGTAGTATTTATAGTCAAGCTTCAATCTCCACATAATTAACAATTAGGGTCACTGTTAATTACAATGACTTGAAACCTAAAACTTATTTTAGAAAGCACGTCCCGAACATAGTGGTTGTTACTGAAGAGTCACTGTGGAATAAAGCCCAAAGATATTTCTTTCATGGCATGCCACAGACCTGCAAAACAGTGTCTCATAGGAAGGTGATTTCACTGTCCAAAGATGCTCAAAGTCTTAAGGAGGAAAGGCAAACAAAAGAAGAAGGGATTTTAATGTGTAACAGAGAATGAGCAAYTGAAATCTGGAAGTTTTGCTACGTCCCTGTTTGTTTAACAAATAACAACTAGGAAATGGGTCATCCTGGAAGAAGTTATAAAGAAGAGCTTATGAAAGGAAGAGGTACGAATGTTAAGACAAACTCCTGGATAATGCTACAGTGCAGTGCTGCAGACCAGCACTACAGGCCAGGTATGATAAAACTATGACAAAACAAATTTTATTAGCAAGGAAGAAAAAAAAGAGGAAAGAAGGAAGAAAAAAAAAAAGAAAGAAAGAAGGGGAAAAAAAAGTAAAGCAACCTACATAACTTCAGGGACAGATTCCTTAGAGTACTACACACCCATATGAATTTGTTAATCTAAATTACAAATGTAAAACTTAAAGGGCATGACTTTCTCCAAAGACAAACATCTAGCAAAATTTCAAATTATTGAAATAGCTGTCAGCACACCTGCAGCTCTGTTGAGGCAGACACAAAAATTCTGATATGGTAAAATGAGTTAGACTCTCGATGCAAAATTTCAGCTGATGTTATCACGATGGACTGTAAGAAAACCATGCCTTTCAATTTCACTAAAATTTAAAACAATCTTTGTGAGAGGACAGCAYACAACACATTTTTTTTAATTTATTTTGTTAAATATGATGAAATGTCTCWAATTAAATGCTTTATACATAACACATAAAAGCAAGTTGATCCATGTCTTGTATCTGCTTTGTGGAACCTATTTTGCTAATTACTACTTGACAAAATTAATTATATTTTTCTAGTAGTYCTAACCATGCTCTTGACAAAACTTTATCTTTGGCACACTATTCCATAGCATCAATGGGAAAGCAGTAGATGTTGCTAATCTTGAATTTGGCAAGCCTTTAAACACTGTCCCCCACAATATTCTCATAGACAAACAGCTCAAGTATGCACTGTGTAAACAGTGCAGCAGACTGGAAGTTGGCTAGGGAAGGAATAATCCCRTGTACCAATATACAAAATATCATTAAGGATAACAAAAAATCATTTATTGCTAGAACAGTCAAACATTGCAATAGGTTGTCCAGAGATGTTTTGGAGTCTCTATCCTTGGAGATACTCAAAACCCAGATGGACACAGTCCTGAGCTTAAGGCACATCTGCTTTGAGCAGAAGGGTTGGGCTCCATGATCTTGTCTTTATTCATCTCACAAAAGGAATATTCTGTCACTGAGAAAGATACTRAAGCTCTCTATTAGATGATTAAACAATTAATTAATTTAGAGCAAACTGGCTGAAAACAAAGGCAGTCTTGCCTCAGCATCCAGGAGCTAACTTGAGGGAAGGGGGAAGGGCCCATATATCACAAAGATGGACAAACCATTTTCCCACTGCTTCCTACCTCAGGCAAGACMTAGTCAAATTGTCTTTTAAAAAGAAAGGGTTGCATATGTTCAGGCTACACTGCCCATACTACAAGACTTGAGCTACCACATTGACAAATGATGAGAGCATGCCCATACACCAGTCACATGGTTTTTACATATATGTAACACAGACTAACACATGGAAATGGGATTTCTGCCTTTTGCTTTATGAAGCACTGAATGCATAGTACAAGGTGACAGAACTGAACTGTCAACATGACCCTCAGKAACACATAACAGTTTGCTGGACAAAAATGAAGGATCTCTGGTACAGGCAATTGTTAACAAWGCAACATCTCAATACACGTAACTACAAAAACCAAATATATTGTGTATACAAAACCAACACAGAAAATAAAGCTATCCTTCCAACTTTTCTGTTCTTCCAGCACAATCCATAGATCAATAGATGTGTTTCAGTACAGATATTTATTGTTCGAAAGCAAAACTTAACTGSCAGTTACATGCTATGAACACAAGCACTTTTCTTCACAGTTACAACCAACAGGGAATGACAACATAGACGAGTAAATCTTTTTTTGTGTTTCACTGAAAACAACTCTACCRCAGCAGAACAATTTGGAGGTCCCCAAAATGACAGAGAAGTAATTYACAATTTCAAAAGACTTTCTTACAGAAAAGTGTATTTCAATTGTGGCCCATTAGTATTTTTATGGTTGTCTTCCCCTAAAACTCTTAAGGTTCTCATRGCTTCTTCTTTATAATATTTCCTTTTTTACTATGCCTCCCTTGTATAAATAATATACCGGTGGATCCTATACCTTTGGATCCTATCCTATACCTGTGGATCATTGTGGAAGTATCAGTTGGAAATTAAAGCACTGGGATTGTACATGAAGAGCATATATTTATGTCTGCTCATGCTATTTTGGAAGTCTTCWTCAACACTTTTATCTGCGCTTCTGCATAAAGTAAAATTCAAGAAAATAGAATTCCTTGGTTTGAGCAATACTAGGAAMAGCCATGTAGAAGCACTTAAAGCATATGTTAATGTTCTTTAAAGAGTAAGTCCACTTATTTTAAATATTCACARTATGTAAGCATATGTGTGTAATCTGTAAGCTTTACACACTGTGGAAATAACACACATCTGTTGAGCAACCRACAAATGTCATTATGGCTTTAAGATCTTTTGTTATGGAAGAAAATAGAAATACAGACGTTAMTTGGTATATAGCTGTTTGTATTGTGAACTAGTAATCAAGAGCGATTCTGAGACCAGTGGTCAATCTTTGAGATCACACTAAGGACTATTTCCCCAGCTGCTTAGAACAAGTAATCATAACTTCATTTGCAAAAAAAAATTGTCTGCCTTTAGGAGATAATTCTATATAATTACAGAGATTATTCCTATCTTTACTATCTACATTTTAAATCTCTATTACCTGTTTTTATTTCATTATATATTCCACCCTCCCTCTGGAATTCTTTGTACTCTTCTCAAGGATACAAAACAAAAACACTTCGAAATTAAGGTTCCAATTTTCTGTCTTGCTTTACAGGTGCCCAGAAAAAAATGGCACGAAATTATGAATTTTATTATTAAATACTATGACTAGCAGTGAAACAGGTATTATTAGCAAAGTAAGCATCAGAAATGTGCATAATTGAATTGCTTACCTTTTACTCAAAACATTTCAACGTAAAATACCTTTAAGAAAAGAAAAATCTAAAAATAAACACAACTGCAAATAGACTACCAAGCACTGTGGTTCTTATATTAGTATAGATGCTTTTAAATTCCATTCTTTTCTGAGTGTCCATCTATAAGATACTAAAGTAAGCATTAAAATACTATCAAAATATTAAATTAAGAAAAGCAGGCCATCTCATCTTCTTGTGGGAACTTTCAGCATTAATAAATAAGTGTATAGCTTAAAGAAAAAAAAAAGGATTACAAAGGAACATGCATCAGTATTGGACTGTATTACACTGCACTTTATAAACAAGATCACATATAACAAAAAAGGGTTACTCCCTGAAAGAGCCGCACAGAAAAATTTAGAATGGCATTAAAAAAAAATCCTCATAGAAGTTATCACTCATGCTCTACAAAGAGTGAAGAAATAAAGAAACTTACCACTYTCAGTAGTGAAAGAGTACAGAGAATTCAGCGGAGTACTCAGAGTGCCTGGCAGTCTTAGCTTGGAGTGTGGTGACAGAGATGATGGTGCAGGAAGCAAGAGATTTGAGCTTGCCTGTAATAGGAAGACAAATCAGAAAGTGAAGTGTAATTTCCTGGGTCACTTACTGATGCAATAGCTAGGGGAGAAATATTTGCGTACTGTAAATAACTATTAAAGTCCAGGAAAAAAAAATTAAAACTCAAGTTGCTGATGACTAACAACTTCAATTTTTTTAAATTACTGGCACAGCTATAAACTGAATTGAGTGTTTATATATGGACACTGAGGCTCAAGGAGTGCAAGYCATGAAACGCAATTGTTTGAGCCAGCATCGTGTATAAAAATAAAGACATTTACATATGGTCATAAACTTATAAATGTAAAAGAATTTCTCATTTTTGAGTCCTCAAACTACACCACATCCATGAAGAGATACTCATCATTATAGAAAAAAAAAAAACCCTTAAACCAGTCCTAGCACAAAACTGATTTCTGCAAATCAATGTAAATTACACATAAACTAACTCCAGTCCTAACTTCCACGGCAACAAAGTAGTTAAAATTTGTTTTCCTATGGAGTTTCTCGACATACGTAGAACTATTACAAAGCAAAAGTCATTCCCAAGTGTTACTCTTGACATATTATYCAACACAGTCTATGAAAAAAAACCTAATGATCTTAGGTTTTTACTGGATCCGATGGAGAATTCTTCTGTTTGTTAAATACATTTTCACTGCCTTCATACAGCCAAAGGGGAGGAAAAAAAGGCCATAAATAAAATATTTGCMATTTCTTCAAGGAAAATAAAATCATGTGCTAAAATTCCTGAGAATTRTTTACATTAAGACAACATAATGCTTGACTCTTTCAAAACTCCAGCTTATTTCATCATATAGAATAAATGCATATGGTCACTTAATCTAACTAAAAGCTCACATTCAGTGGAACACTTCCTTTGGCCTCGTAAACTTTAGATCAGAACCTTAAACTTCAGTTGTGGGTCAGTTGTATTTTACAAATTTTAAAAATACTGCCTTGTAAATTCTGTTTAAAGAAAGGAGACAGTTAAACCTGAGTGAATCTAAGTGATCAAGATTCTAAGAAGATTATCTAAGATTATCTAAGAAATTATATATTTTCTATAACTATTATTTCTGTAATTGAATAATTATTCAATTCAATAATGAAAAATATTTGGGTATTGGAATGCAGGTAACCTAGCAGTAAAATGTATGTTAAATTACTTGACCAGGCCAGAGGGTATCTGTCACCGTCTCTTCTGCACCACTATACTAGACTTCATCTTAATATATCTGTTTTTTTGTACAGGAATATGGACTTAGTTCTATTGAGGGAAGTTTATAGTAAAAACTTTACTAGCAAGGAACTTTTGCAGCAAAGGTGCACAATTGTAATGACTATGCTCCAAAGCTGACAGAAAGAAAAGCAAGATAGAAAATCAGATTAATCATTGAACATGGTTTTAAAAAWGCATTAAAACTGCTAGATTTCACTACAGCGTACAAATTTAAATATGTGCTAGTAAGCAGTAACTGTGAAATGTTACCAGAACAGAGGCCTGTTTTTCTGAACAACTGCAAGAACAAAATCAATCTGCTTCTCTTACATTTACATATGCAAGCAAGTAAGCTTCATTAATATAAAGTTTCCTCTGGCACCAAAAAGATGGTGGAAAGYCATTAGCTTACGTGTTTACTCAAACACAGAAACAATCATCTGTTCTGCAAATGTTCATCTTCTTTAATCCACTGTAAGCTCTAGGGAGAGCCTTTCTCCCTCCATAAATTAGAAGATCTCCCCTTTGCATGAATTTCTTGCCGAGCGCACACTATACCATCAGACAAACATGTGCTTTCCAGTCAAATATTTCAATGGAAGTCCTTTCCAAATTTGMTATCAAAAATTAGGTTTTAGTTAATACCAGAAAATGAAGACAGGTTGAATATACTGGCCTTTGGAAATCAAACTTAACAGGGCAGAATAAACTATTGAAAACTAGCACTTAACAGATGCCTCCCCAGTTCATCCTGGAAGGAAAAATTATGAAGATAAGCCTGTCTTGATTCTGGTCCTTGAATGAATTATAGAAAAGATATGGAATTCCATATAAACTATTCCTGTACAACATTTAATTCACTTCTCTTTGTTTTCCTGCTGTATTATGTAAATACTCTCACTATACACCCAAATAGCACACTTTGAAATCAAATGCAACAGACACACACAAGAGAAGACTGAATGTGCGGTCCTGAAGATTTAAGAAAATCACCCGTTCTAAAATGCAGCATAAGTTCTCCCRGAATACTTCCTTCCTCTCCAAGGTCTTAAAAAAAAGATAAAAACCTTTTTTAAAAATAAAAGAGATATTAAAAATTAAGTTTTAAATCTAAGCAATCTTACACAAAGCGATTCATTCTTCCCCTTGAAGCTGAATGTGGGTGAGCTAAAAACACTGCCCATCCAAAGTAGAGACAAAACCAGAGTTTTAATGACTTTTCTGCCACTAGCTCTTAAGCATTAAACAAATCTCTAACAGGCCCAAGGAGGTAAAAAAAGGCAGAACATTATAGCAGAAATGGGAACTAGTCAGTTAATAAGYGAGGACTAGTGATTCAAGCACAACTGTTTCCAGGTGAAGTACACTATCCTATGAAAAAGAATTCATTTTCCTACAACAGGCCGACATAAGACTACTCACAGAGTGAAGCAATTTTTTGAAATGCATGCTGTGGGAAGGCATTGCTAAATACCTTTACAACAACGAGGAAAGTTGGCTAAGATACTCAACCATCAATTTACTTCTTTTTCACAACAGACTCTGCTTGCTTCATGCACAAACCGCAGTTTTATCAAAGATACAGTTTACTATTATTGTGAATTGAGTAAAACTAAGAGTTTTCGTCACGAAAAGGGTACCTACATAATTTTTGCCAAGTTTAAACAAGATGATTTGCATTTTCTTTTTTGTGTTAGGGCAGCTCTATGCAAATTATGCAAATACACCTTTTCAGTGGAAGCAGTTTTCACATTAAAAGTGAATTGCATGAGACGAAAACCAGAATACTCTAGGACTCAACAAGGTGACAAATGCAATTTCTCTTTTTCCCAAGAATGCAATTTTATGACCTTTGCAATCAATATAATTAAYATTTGCATATATACTTGCAATCCAAATCAAGCTGGTCAGCTCTGTATTACTTTTCTTCTCTTAGTTTTATGTTTCTCTTCTGTAACTTTGTATCTCTAGGACACGGTTTTTAAAGACAGTTTAAAAGCATTATTAAGATATTATTATTCAGAATTTAAAAGCTGAATCTGAAATTTTAAAAAAACCCCAAAACACAAACTCTGATATTTTTCTCAATGTTAGAAGAAAACATAGGCAATAACGTTTCAAGTAGGAATATGGCACTACAGCTTTTAAATGTGACATGTAAGTTTGAATCATAATTACATCTATGTAAAATTACTATCATTTCTATGATAGTAGCACTCCAATGAAAACTGGGATTCTACTGTGGTAGGTGTCCTGCAGTCACCTGGAGATAATCTATTCTGCTCTTACAAAGCTCCAGACTAAGTAGAAAAGCCAAACACAGCTAAAATCAGATTATCCCCACACATAGGCAAAACTGAACCTGAAGCAAGTATGTTCCCCTGATGCTTCCTACACTCTTCTTACTCTGATTATCCAGATCAGGAACTCCTCTACGTGGCAATATGGTTTCCTTGTAACTCGAATGCTTGCTCAACTGTTTTTCCCCACATAAGCCCATAAGTGACCAGGGCAYACATATGAAAATTGACACAAAARAGGGGCTTGATCCTACARTTTAGTCACTGTCTAGAGATGCTATGTCTCATCACAAAGCAATTATCTATATTCAGTTCCTTAGTTCTGCCAGAGTTCTGGCATTTCGATTATACGTTACTTCAAAAGATTTCTTCGYTTTTTTCTTYCTTTGTCTTTAAAAAAAATGTTAAGGAGAAGTTAAAATTACTATCAACACTTGAAATAGTGAGCTTCTTTTATTTAGCCACAAGGAACGCTAAATCCTTAGCACAAGATACAACACACTTAAATAAAGTTTCAGTTGTACACAGGACTCGGCCATTAAACACAAAGAGAATGGCCTTTCCTGCATTGGATAAAACTAGCATTTCAGCTTAAGAACATGCCTGGATACACACACTCTAGCAGAAAAGGGAAATCTCACCACCAATAACAGTAAAAAGCAGGTTTGTCTTGTTTAGTAAGGGTCAAGTAGGTTATTATGTAAACTGTGACCTCATGTTATGATTAATGCTATCAAAAAACATATCAGGGGGACAAAAAATCCATTACTTAATGAATTGTAAAATGTCTTCTTTTTTGTGAAAATGGATGTAACGTGTTTCATAGGAAAAAAACACCCAAAGATACTTGTCCTATGATTTTGTTTCTCTATTATGAAAAATAAGACACCAGAAATTCTTCTAACTCACATTTTATCAAATACATTTACAAACTCATTCCTTTGTACCTGCTGGTAAAAGACATTAGGATATTATAACTCTAAACACAGCACAGAGCTTCAGATAATCATGTAACCACTCAGAYTTTTAAAAAACCCCAATGACCCCCCACCCTTAAGTATCTGGTTATACTCTAGGCTTTTCCTATGATATACAAAATATCTTTTTGGCAGATTTTTTTTTTCACAGTGATGTTAACAAAATACATATATTCTGTGTAAGTTTCATTATTATTTCCATTATTCTAAAAAAAAAAAAAAAATCCAGACTTGCACATCACTTACTTGGTCTTAAAATTATGATTTATGTTTTAAAATGATAGTTTTAAACAAAAACTATAGACTAATTTATTTGAGAAACTCTCATTTGCTTATTCCAGAGATTAACAGTAATGTTACCATAAACACAGAAAGGTTAAAAAAAGATAACCCTGACTAAATTTCTCCAGAACATACAGAACTTATGGATGCTAAGGCAAAAAGTTATTTTCTACATCTTTTGTGAAAATAAAAAAAAAAAAAATCTCAACTAACAAAAAAGGGAATCTGTGAAACTTAATTACAAAATCCCCAAAGATTTAATCTTGTATAACATTATTTAACTCCCAATTTATAGTCTCTTACTACTTGAGCCATGATCCATTTCCWTCCAGCACCCAACAGAATCACTGCGTTGGCAAAGGCMTCCAGGATCACTGAATCYAGCMTTTGACCAAACACCACCTTGTCAACTACACCACAGCACCAAGTGCCAAAACYAGTCATTTCTTGATCACCATTCCAAGGAATGGTGATTCCACCAYCTCYCTGGACAGACAGTTCTAATGTTCCACCCTTTCAGAGAAGAAACTCTTTYTGATGTCCAACCTGAATCTCCTCTSWTGCAGCATGTGGCCATTTCCTCTTGTCCTGTCACTTGCTGCCTGGGAGAAGAGGCCAATCCCTACCTTGCCTCAACCTCATTTCAGGCAGGAAGAATGTTTTCATGTTGCAAGAAACTCTATCACAGATCCGAAATCATGAACAAAACTGTCAACAATGTCATTAATTGACTCAGCACCCATTTATGGTATCTTTTCTTATTTAAAGTTTCTAATAAAAGCTGCTTTCTCCACACCTTGGTGACAACAAGCCAGCTGGCAGAAGGAGGAGTAATTTGCTGGGTTTCAACACGAAAAAATCCAACTTTCTCTGCTTTAAAATACTAYTTGAATAAACACAGCAATACTCAGATAGCCCTGTTAACTTTGTTCAGCAGGGACAAAACAAACAGTGAGTAACTACTCCGTAAATGTACCAACATTTATGACAAGACAAGTAATAAGTAAGACTGGAAACAAAATTAAAGAACCAATCAGTAAAACCCACACACAGTAAAAAGGCTTAATCAGCGAGTAACTTCTCCTGACAAACCTCTCTGGTACAAACTTTAATGGAAAGAAAGCTAATACTGTACAACTGAAAAAAAGTTAAAGGACCTAACCAGTAAAACCATATAGTAAATTCTTAACACCATCCTATTTTGCCCTCTGATAAAATTATTATAACCGTATACTTCTATGCTAAAAAATTGAATGCAATTCACTTTCTGGCTGGCATACCATTTATATAAAACAAAAGCCACTGAGAGACATACAATGCTGAAAGAGGTCATGGTTTAACTCCAAYCCAGGCAAGACCAGCACATCCATCTATTCTCACTGTGTTGTTTTAAAATTCACTTGGTGTTTGCTAAAAAATGGAATGCATAAAAAATATCTTACTAAGAAAAGAATCTTCTAACATAGAAATATATGACAGATTTTAAGAACCTGCTTTATACAATTTTCAGAGGGCAGCGGGGAAGCAATGAAGCACAAAACAAATCACAGAAAAAACCCAGCTATTGGTTAGCTTTTTTCCAATACAGGCAACTTTACTAAATCTACCAAATTCAATGACTTGACATGAAAAATTCATCACAATTTCTGAAACCTTACTTTATAATAAAATACTTCTTAAAGACATAAAAAGTAAAATTCTGGCAAAACTTTTAAGTATTTTACCTACATTACATTTACCTACAGCATTTTACCTAAAGCTTCTAGTAATAATTCAGYCATTTCATACCAACAATTTGATGTGTACTACACCAAAGCATCTTTTATCAACATGTTTTATAGTCATACAGCTCAATGATGGAAGTTCAGTACATTCCATGTAAATACAAACTGCTGGATTCTCTCACTTCCTTTATGAACTTTGCCACAGTAATAAATACACTCATAGGACAAAACCCAAAAAACAAGTAGTTGTAAACATTTCTGTACATAGGAAAGAAYACTTTTACATTCCACTTGTCTAACATTGCATTTAATATGGTCCGAGAATCAGAATTTTGGTAACCACTTTGATAACCTTTTAACAATAATTTTCAGAAATACATTATGAAGTAAAGACTAGAAAAGCTAATATACTTCAACTTAGAAGCATTCATATATTGAAAGATAAGGCAGCCAACATGCAATTGATTCCAAGACTAGTACTACAGAGCATATACAGATGCTATTCGTAAGTGCTACAAATGGGTCAGAAATCTAAAGGCCCAATTTCAGAGCTAGAATACCACATCTTCAAAGAAAGCCTTTCTCTCCATACCTACACAACATATATCGCCCCCCTTGTTATGGAAAGTTATAAACAGGTTTTTCACTGCTAGATGGAAGTGAAATTAAAAAAAAAAAACATGTGTTTTTCGTCTTATGACCAGACATCTAGTAGAGTAAAAACTTATTCTGAAGTATCTTCTTGGAGTATTTGTCCCAGATACAAGGTTACATGTTCCATTCTATGTTGTGCCTTTCTCTGATGAACAACTTGAAGGCATCAGCGCTCACTCTGTAGATGAGCAGGAACAGAATGAGCAGAAAGCAGAAACAAGGTTTGTTTCCTTGTGTCAAATCACATGAAATGGAAAGGTAGAAGCAGAAGCAGTTGTCCATTTTAACCATGAGATACTGTTGCCCATGAGAGTTACYATATGGTGTTTCCTGAAGGGGTTCACTGGGAGTTCACAGTTCAGAAATCAAAGGTCGGAGGGATAGCTTTCTTTCAGTTTCAAAGCTCAGGCCTAATGGGCATGCTGAAGCTACAAACCAGACTAAATCTAACCCAAAGTAAAACCCCTAAAGTATGATGACAGTAGTTGTAGCAACCTCAGCAACAACTGCTTTCATCTACTCACCTGCGTCTTTTGTGATTCACTAATCATTAATGGAGACAAAACCTAAAACTACATTAAAAAATAGAAATCTACACAYACTCAAAAGTACTTTGAAATGAAAAATAAATAGTAAGTGCCAATCCAAATGCAGTTCATGGCATTGTGAAAAGTAATTATAACTTCACAGTGCTATTGAGGRACATTCTGCATTTTTGTTGCATGCAAATTGTCTCAAATTGAGAAATTTAACTTAATTAAATTTTTTTGCCAATTACAAAAGCTTTAATTACCAATTTGGGTATTGAGAAACAAGACAGATAGTCAAACACCCACCCAAATAAAACATTTTTCATCTCTTTGTTTGCSTCCAGGCACTTCTTTTTCCTCTTTTCTAGTCCCCCTAGTCTCCTTGCTTTTGCCATTATGTTACACTCAGTCCCTTTGGAAAGGCAATGGRTGGGTGGGGCAGTAGAGTGAAGTTAGTGCATAGTGACTTAGCTCTTTTTGACTCTTGCTGTTTCTTGCTCTTTTCAACCGCTTTAGTATGGATCCTCAAGTAGATAAAACCCCCTTGGGGACTGGACCTGTCCAGCATGGATTCTCCTGTGGAGTGCAGCCCCTTCAGAGGTGTACCATCGTCTGTATTTTCTTTTCTGTGTCCTCATATAGCTCCTGTCTTTCCCTTCAAACCTACTCTGTTATCTTCCCCATATCTCCATTTCTGCATTGTTTTGTGACTCTTACATCACCTTCATGCCTCCTTCTATGCCTTCTTTTGTGCCTCCTCACACCCCTCCTCATGTATCTTCACTTGTGTCCCCTGACACATTTCCCTGTGATTATCTCGTCTACTGTGATGTCTCCTGTCTGTAATAAGTACTGGCAGTTCTTAAGCCTGTTTTCTCAAAGGCCATTATTCTGTTTGGTTCCAGTTTCCACTGTACAGTAGGTCCATATTGTCCTTCACAGAGCTGACTTGAAGCAGCTGTGCCCAGCTGTGTAGCACCCTAAAACCCATGCTATTTATGCCATACAATTTTTAAGGGGCATAGGAAGCTCAGCTATGATGATCTATGGATCTATAATTTCATATAAATGGACAAACAGCAATGGGCACTAGCAAAAAAAAAGAAACCCTTGTCATCACTACTGGAAAAACAAAAATAAATTCTTTATGATTTCTCTCTTCTTATTTCTCTCTTCTTAAGAGCTACATATACCTGCATTAATATTAGTGAGAGATATATTAATTTCTAAAGACCAGATGCCATGACAAATATATATGCTTTTTCACATATACCAGKCCCAGAATATGGGAAGACTATATACTTCCGAAGTTAATTAAATTTGACTTACCAGAACAGAATCAAGTTTTTGTTTCACCTTCTGCATTCTCATTGAGGCTCTTGCAACACTGACAAACTGATCTGCTGGAGATACCACTGAGCTTTTTTGTACAGGAATTTCAGAAAAATGGCTAAAGAAGTGTGGCCCTCTTGGTGCAGCTGTGGTAAGTGATGAACTGAGATCTTTTACAAGTTCAGCTTCCTGTTGTGCAACTGTAGAAATAACCAATGTTAACRTGTCAGGTGAAACCTTACATTGCCATGGGAAAAAACAATTTGAAGGATCACAGTCATTTTGCCAGCCACGTCTTCAAACACCATCAGAATCTGTACTAATAGTACTACGGAAAAACCTGAAAACGACATGAAATTTTCCTCTTCCCACCCAGTTTTTTTTCCCCTAACTCTCCTGATCACAATATCTCACTTCCGTTATCTGTGTTCAGTAACCTTTCATATAGAAATAGTATTTTTGTATTGCTTATAAACAAGTGTTCCTCATGCAGAAGTATTGGCGCTGGGTGAGAGGAGAGAGTGGGAAGARAAAGGAATTTTTCAAAGGCAATAAAGTTATAAAACTTGCACTGAGTTCAAGTCTAGGTGCAGCCCCTAGACTGCACTTTTCCAGCCTAGTTCAAGTCAGTTTATTATACTCGAGCAACATTTCAGAAGTCGACAGACATATTATAAAGGGACAGGACACACTGACTAACAAAATTTTGTATGAAACACAAAAACACATTTATTTACAGTAAGAGAATTTATTTATTTGAGAAACCTCTAACGATTTTGGCTAGGCCAAAACCCTTGCTTAAAGCAGCATCGTATAGAGCAAGTAGTATAGGATCATGTTAAATTCACTTTTAGTATCTCCCAGAAAAAATAAGCATTRTCATCAAAGGACTGTTTACTTTTTCCTTTGAACAAGTACAAATACTAACAAACCGCCTCTAAAAATAAAATACTTCAGGTGTRTATCAAGAATATTTGTACTGTACCTTTATAATCATAAATGTATACAAGTATTGGATGGTTTTGACCAAAGGCACAAAAAGACACCATGTGCTCGTGTGGATGAAAGGCAACATCACGAAGTGGAGATGTGAAGGAGAGTTCAGAATAGATGGCCACTTGATCTCCTGCAGAAGTGAAACAGATCAGTTAGCCATGAAAACATATTTGAAACATATTCAATACACCAAAATAACAGCTGGTTAAAGCTTGTATTACTTCAGTGTCTCTTACTGTAAATAAATGTTCTTCAGTCAATTTCCTGATTGAAAAGTAGTATTTTGGCATAAGACAAAGGAAATATCACATGCTTTTAAGTTATTCAGTAAGTCAGAAAAGTTGGTGCTGTTGCAATAGCTGCAGGAAATGCCAAAGGATGCACCAGGTTAGCTGAGTTCTCTTGTTCTGATAAGCAAGTTCTGGAAAGGTGGCGTTCCACAGTATTTGTTTGTGCTTGCATTGTACAAAGATAGCCATCTTACTTGTGGATTTCRGCTATACAACACTAACAACAGGAGTGAAAGTTGAGCAGAGAATTATTAAAAAACAGAAATAAAACTAGCTCTTCAGGTGATGGCACTATAAATACAGTGTGTAAACAAGAGTCAAAACCCAATAAAAACRTACTAATAACGAAGTTCCTCCTCCTTTTAATTGTTTTTTTTACATTTTCAGGGTAATTACATCATTCCATAGATGCAAGTTAATGTAGTTGGAAACAGAAAGAAATTCAAAACAGATCTGTTAGTTAGCTGCCAGTTTTAAAAAGCTGACTACTTTTCTTTCAAAAAATTATTTAGATCACTGAGGCAGAAAATAATGTCATCAAATCCAAAATGGTATTCTGCCACTTTCTACTCTTATTTTTGTCTTTTAACTCCTATACAAGATAGTAAACTCTACCCTACATTTTCATCACATTTTTTCAGAAAGATTTTGGTAGCTATTTTGAAACTGCTTGGCTTGGGGACTAACTCACAAAGAAACCTTATATTCCGTACACCAAAAACATTCAGTCTCTGACCACCGATCACAAAGATGAAGTAGTTCTCAACATGAGCCTGATTCTCAAATCTGAACAACACAACAGAAAGATTTYTCTGACCTAAAACATTTTTAGTTCATTCCATTTCAAGATCCTCACCACATGTAAAGAGTTGCAGTACAAAAAAGCTGAGCCTCAGGTACTCCAATCATGTTGGATATTACAAATGTTACCTCTAGCAATTTCCTCTAGAGAATTAAATCTCAGAGATTAATAACAGCTGCTTAAAAGGTGGAACTAAAGCTTCAGGGTTAAAGAATATCTTACCAATGTTTTATTCCATATCTAAAGTGTTTCTATAAAGGTTAAAAAACCCTTTCCCCCTCTGCCTTGACAATCTGGCTCAAGACCATAAAATAATTAGTTACCTGTTTCTGGATTCCAAACATAAGCCTTTCCATCTTCACTTCCTGAAAACAGGAACGTACCACAGGGTGTTAAGGTGCTGTGAATCTTTTCTCTGTAATTTGTGGCACCTATGTATTTCTTTGTGGCCAAGCTAAAGATAAAGAAAGTTTGCAAATATAGCAGATACGTTCAGAACAGACAATGCAGCTTTTAAAGTGTCAGTTYCCCCCTCTATTGCTCAGAAAARTCAATGCACCTTGCATCCCAAATAGATATGCAAGCAYACACTTTTTGCAGAGTGCACTGTTTACCCTTTATTTTCCCTGACCCTCATAAAGCACATGACAGTACAGATGAAAGTTTACATCCTTGTCTTTCAGCAGAAAAATGAAATCTTCAGATCTAGAGAACAGATACAGATGCAGTAATTTGCATTATCTTGGTCCTGGGCTTTGCAAAAATACTGGGAAATTGGCACCATTACTCCAAGTCTATCAAATAAGTTTTCATTATGCTTCTTGAGCTTGAGTGCTTAAATTTATCCAGTCTTCAGCTCTTCAGACTAATGTCTCTTTGGTTAGAAAACCAGCGGTAGAATCAACAAATTGCAGACATAAATGTTGATTTACTATTAATATGATAAATATTATTTTGCAACTTAGGTATCCTACTCTTTTTTTCAGTGAAACACTACTGGTTAGCACAATAATAATGGTCTACTCTCAAACATTTTGAAGGCATCAAGTAGGAGAGAATCCACAAAAGGGTGGAAAGAAGCATTAGTCATCTTGGAAGAGGCTATTTCAAACATGAGGCATAGCCTAGAAAAAGGTATCAAAGCTAAACACAGAGACTAACCCAGCAGCAATACTACAAAACAGAACTTGAGGCAAGGAGAACGGCAATAGGATGCCACAGCCCTCAAGGAAAGAACACAATACTTTTTCGAATTTATAACTGCAAAAAACAATGGAGGTATGCTGGGAGAAGTGCAGTGCATTTAATATGACTGGAAAATTATTTTAAACAATATTCTGCATAAATAAACCCTAGATGAAATTCTATTTGGCAAGTAAGAGAAAAGGATCCTTAATGATCCCAGCGCAAGACCATATTAGCCCAAATGAGAGTTTTAGCTGTATGAATAAGAAAGATAGTATCTCTGAGATGTCATTAGAAGAGCTCTGCAAGATGTAAAACTAACCCTCATATAAAAGCCTGAGGAGAGGACTGAACCAAAACCAAATCCCTGATCACATACCTAAGTGACAGGACAGTAGCATTACCCAAAAAGGTGAAAAAAGTGAGTTGAAAGAGGAAAGTTAAGAGCAATCAGCTGTCAATCAAAGTGAATTGTGTTCATCTGTGACCTCCACCCCCTCTTTTCTCATGCAGAGAATGAACAGTTAATGCTGACGTGTAAAATTATCACTGCTGGGTATCTGACCCTGTGGTTTATTGATAGACTTAAGTCAATGTAACTGAGGGCTGTGGTCAAAGTAGCAGTCTTGGTGGTGTCCTCTCCACCCTTATTTTCCCAGGCTCTCCCTCATTTCTTTACTAGTGTTTGGGCAGCTATCAGATGAGTTTGATCAAAGAGCTGATTAAAATGAAAATTAATCATTTGTATTTGTAGGCTAATTTTTAGTTGGATCAGCTCACTGATCTGACAGCCTGCATCAAAAGATCTCGAGATGATAAAAAGGAAATGCTAGGAATACACAACCAAAGGTGTGGGAGATGGCAGGAGATGGTATATTCTAAAACTTGCTTTAAATAATTGTGAAATTGCAGCCCATATTAAACCCTTTCTTAAAGATTAATATGCACGTCCATTTTTCCCTCTCAAACTAAAACTCTCTGCATGTTTTAGAAAGAGAAGTGACAGAAGAACACTTCCTCAAAAACTACAGGTTCCCTCTCTTAATCTGCCAATTTCATGCTTTGATTGAGTGGAGAGTTTAGCCTTCTAGCATGGTCATTGCAATTTATCATTTAAGCAAAAGAGAAAAGTGCACTATAATACTGTAAAGTCTTCAGCTAGTTCAAATATTCAATCCATTACAATAACAGAATTGCTTCRTTTGGAAAAGATCTTCAAGATCATTAAGTCCGACTGTTAACCCAGCACTGCAAAGTCCATCACTAAACCATGTACCTAAGTGCCACATCCACACACCTTTTAATACCTCCTAGGATGATTTTCTGTGTGGTGAGAGAAGGAAAGAAATCCATGAAATTAAGGAAGAAACATTTAGAAAACTTGTTTGTATCTTTAATATGATTTTTCAGAACAGAATGTTAAAGTGCATTTTATCAACATATGTAAGTGACTGGTGACTCTTCCCACTCCCATCCAATGAAAGGACAAGAGGGAATGGATATAAATCAAAATATAGCTAATTCTGGTTAAAATATAAGAAATTTTTTTTACTTACGGGGTGAATGAACACTAGAATATGTTGCTCACAGAAGCTGTAAAATCACAGTCCTTCAAGATATTMAAAATCCAGTTGTATAAAGCTCTGAGTTACATGTTTCTGTGATTTGATTGTTGGATTGAACTGGTCATTTCCCAACATCAAACTCAAGTGAGTCTGTAATCTCCTTGCTTTTTATTTTAGTCTATCATTAAAGAATCATGCTTATAACTATTGAGAATGAGACAATAATCAAGAACTGTGCAAAAATATCTCATATCCTGCATAATACACCATAATATGTACATCACTGCATTTTTCAGTGTTTATGACAATCATTTTCCATTTCAACATCAAAATATCCTTCCCAGMGTCTTAAACTAACAAAAAACCACAAATGTTACCACTTTCAAGTTATTTTCACGTCCAGATTGCATTTTAAAAGGGATTTCAATCTTTAGAAGACTAACATTGTATTCTTCATGCCACTCTAACCTCCCAAGTAATCTAGTAATTTTTAGAAATTCTATTCTGAAAGACTTTCTCAATATCTCCCAAAAGGTCTGTAATACAGCAGTGTTTTGAAACCATTTCCTAACCCTAACAWTGCTATCCTTGATCATTAGGACATCTTTCTCCTCCCCAACTACACAGCTAATACCTTTATGATATATTATTTCCCCAAATAAATTTTAAAACAGAAAGGAAATACACATTTTTCACCAAAAATACTAACATTCTGAGATCCATAATTCTCAGGGCACTGTCTTTGGCATGGATTAATAAACGCCTTCCATTCGGATGCACTTCCAAATGATTTATTGGTGTTCCTTTAATATCATTTTCTTTTATTTCCTACAGAAAGATGGCAAATAAAGACAATTATATAACTTTTTGTTTTAAAACTCATGTTTTTACACATTATTGCTCAGTTTTTGCTTGTATTACCCTTTTGCTCAATTGACTCTATTTGGTTAAGGAAAAGGTTTGCTCCTATATTAAGGCATTACATCCTCGACATCAACTTTTTACAAATAGGAGGAAGATTCTGTTTTGACTGAATTTTAAAGAATTAAGCTGATGACAGAAATGTTGACTGAACATTAGGCTTCTAAGGTATGAACAAAGATGATGTGTAAATCCTGTGGTATATTTTGTTTTTGTCTCTAGAGAACAAACCTAATGCATTTGCCTGTTAATACAGTGCTATCAAACATCAAGTATTTTCATGTTTYATATAGAAAAAGAATAATTCTAGAATCACAGAATCCTACAATATCTTTAGCTGCAAGGTTCCCACTACGAACATCAAAGGCCAACTCCTGACCTTACACAGAACCCCCAAGAACCACACCATGTGCCYGAGAGTCCAAACACTTGAACCTTCTCAGACGTGGTGCTGTGACCACTTCCCTGGCAAGTCTATTCCAGTGCTCAATCAAATTAAGTTGCAAAACAATTAAAAAATTTTAAGTCCGTGAGTCACAGCACGCTCTATCAGTTCTTCTGTACCAATTTTTAAAGAAAATACACCTCTGCAGTTAAACAAAAGATAACTATAAAAAAAATTAATTCATATCAAATTACTAGATTTGGTACAGTCCACATGAAAATTTAAATGCTTGTTTAAGAAACCTGTTTACCTTATTGATCCTCCACTGCTGGAAAAGGTGTTGAGAACTTCCTTTGACAGGTGTATCCCAARCTATTATCAGTCCTGAACTATCTCCTGAGAACATGTGGTGTCCTGAAAAATAACATCTTATAAGTAAAATGCCACCCACAAAAAAAAATACAGAAAACATGAAATAAACCTTTTCTATCATTTTTGTGAATAAGCAAATACCAATTCTTCCATCTCTTTCACAATAACATACTCCTTGCAACTGTGTTTTGTTCATATTGCCTGAGATGATGCCATAAATTTGGATTAAATGTATACATCAAATACAGAGGTGCAGAACATATTTTTATTTTTTTTCATTTTTAATCTWATTCTAAAACCACCAAAAAGTGAGCATTTGCAGCTCAATGAGTTTCACATCATAGCTTAATGCTTACCTACACATTCACTAAGAGAATCTTGAAGAACAAATACTGTTTTCCAATACTTGTTCTTTAAGCACAAATATCTCTCTTTACAAAAATACAGCTTTCCTCATGGTAGTACCTACTCCAGTGACTAAAATAAACCACCTATTTATTACTGGAATGTCATCAATACTAGAAAAAAATCTAACACTTTGGAGTACCTTTAATATTCATCCATCTTCAACTCTTCCTCCTTCCTAGTACATGTCTGTTTTCACCTGTTAACCTACCAGTTAACGTGACTCACAATAGCCAAAGTTCTGTCCTTTTCTCTCTGTATCGTATTCTCTGACAGCATAGAAAAGTTCATTATCTTCTCACTTCTTCAGTCTAGAGTTAAAATTCTCATAATTACAGCGACCTCATTTTCTTTATCAAAGAATCCCAGAATGAYCTGGGTTGAAAGGGACCTTAAAAAAAATCTAGTTCTGACCTCCCTGAAATGGGAATGGACACCTTCCAGTAGAATAAGGTCCTGAGCAACATTGCCTTGACCACCTTCAGCAATGGGGAATTCACAATTTCTCTGGGCAACCTGTCCCTGTGTCTCAGTACTCTCCAAGTAAATAATTTCTTCCTAAGAAGAATACAGTGCCTCTGTAAAGTAAAGAAAACTAGTAACACTCAAGATGGTCTTCACCTGGAAAGACAACTATTTGTAAAAGCAATACTAACCACATACCTTCTGCATCAAAACAAAGTGTGTTGATGAAACTTTTGTGACCATCAAGCTCCTGCAGCAGTTGCCCATGGATTTCTTCCACATTTGCATTCCAGATTCTAATCACTGAGTCATAACATCCCGTCACAACCAAGGAGTCAGCAACTGGGTGGTACTTGGCAGTGTAGACAAATGAAGGATGAGGGAAAACTCTCACTGCAGATGCCGCCTGCGCTTCTATTTTCCACATTCTAAAAGGAAACAAAATTAGAATTTCTACTGTACAAAACAATCACACACACAGGTATAAATGATGCCATATGTTGTGCTACTGACTCTAGAGGCAAATGTTTGCAAACACTTAACAACACCTGTTTATCCTACCAATTTGTTCCACCTCTATTTAATCCTAATATATGGTACTTCTTAACCAAAAYTAAGAAACAGTATTTGGTCTTCGAAGTAAATTAATGGCCAATTACTTACTTAATCGATATATTTCTCATTTTAAAATACTCACAAAGAATTCCATGAAATGAATTTGTTTCTTTCTTTCAGGAGCTATAACCAAATTAAGCCCTTCTGGAGTTTCATTTATTAAAAAAAATACTAGAACAAATACTAAGAAAACCCATAAAGGACCATTTAGGGCCAATAAATATAAATAAAACCCCAGAAAATTTTAAAATAATAATTACCAGYCACACAGTGATCATGATCTCAAGGATGTTTCCATCACATAAATTTACTTCTTACTATTAATCTATTTCCTATGCTTTGCCATCCAGAGCTGAAAGATGGCATTTTTTTAGCGTCTTCTATTTGATGGTGTGCATTTTATTAGTGAGCCTTCCCCAAAGATGAGTACACAAAGAATAGAACAGTACCTGGATCACTAAATACAGGTGGGCAGCACATTACATGGAGGGTTCAATTAAAACATGTTATTAAATTGTTTTAGTGGCACCCTTCCACTTCACCCTTTAGTGGTGAAGTGACCACTTCTGGTGGCTATTGAAGAATTTTAAGTTTACTCAGAGGTAACTTAATTACAAAGTTGTAACCCTTTAGAGCACAGCAATCAATTTGCAATTCAATGCACAAAGATCATGAGTCTACCTGTATTTCAGAATGGCTTTGATCTATCAACTTAAAAATTAATTTACTGCTCACAAATAAGGTGGGACTAAACCTTGGGAAGGCTTGAGGATGACAYAAAACACTATATAAAGAAGAATTCATGTAAGTTCCTGAATTTGCCTTCATGTTGCCTCAGAACTYCAAGATAATCCAAGTAATAAACTGATAATGACTTCAAAGCAATGTTGAGACCTTTTAAGGAGCTGAAGGCAACTCACAATAAACATAGGAACTAATAACTCATACAGTGACTGTGCATAGTACACAGAAAAGGAGGCAGACCACTGCAGTTTCAACTTGCTGCCACWAATTCAAGAATTGAGGAACAGCTCAGCTTTCTTATGGGCAACATAAATGATTGAAATCGATATTTAACTCAAGATAAAAAATTATTATTTAATCCATTCCCAAATTAAAAAAAAAATTAAAAAGCAGAACTCTCAAAACATTCTCTGTATGCCTTCATACAAGCAGCAAAAAACCTTAAAACAGTTCCACTAATACAATATATCATTTAACAATTCTGCTGGCATTTCAATTACGCAACTGCCTGTAGCATTACTGAGTTGCATAACAGAAACAACTGATAGGGATCTGAAGAGCTAAAAAAAAAAAAGTTCTATGAAAACCAATGAAGTTGCTCATAATAAAATTGTACTGTGTTACAGTCATCATTTCATGCATATCTACAGCTTTGAAGGTTTTTGTTTTTAAATCTGAACAGATCACTATTGTAACATTATCACTGTCTGAAGTACACTTGAATTGAAGTACTCTTGAATTGATTCAAGAAATAACAGCATCAAAATTCATTTACAGCAATTTAAGCTAAGTGTCAAAAACCAAAAGAACACACAAACATACACATATGCAGCATGGCAAATCTGCACACATGACTTGAATCTTAAATTTTCAATTTCCCGCTTCATGTTCAAATTYGCAACTTAATACTGCATTCATAGTATGCCCATTTCTCCAGGAACAGAATATTACAACTGTCTCAGTGCCTCTCTTCTTGAAACAAAAAGTCTTTTAGTTTTTGACTCTGCTGCAGATTTAGACATTAGAGTTTTTGGAAGAGTTTTGGTTTCAAATACAAATACATTAGAAACAGTAAATACAATGTAAGTTATTAACCCAATCACAAGTTTTATATTATTGCAGTCACATTATAATAAAATCTGTAATTAAAACATTGTAGCACAGTTTTGTAGTAAAACACTGAATTGGACCACTCTCTTTTCATCTTCTGATGATATCTGCCAAAACATCTAATCATACTGACCTGACAGTGCCATCAGAGGATGCAGTAAGAAGGTATTGATCATCTTTTGACCAACAAAGATCATACACTATGTTAAGGTGACCATAAAATTCTCTCAGGAACTGTCCAGAAGGAATTTCATACACTAGGGAAGTTAAAATAGAAAAATAGAAGTCTTTTAAGTATTTGCAGTCAAATAGACGTAGCCACTAGAGCCAAAGTTTAGTCTAATCTTAGGCTGATTTTCTGTAAGCATAAGTCAACTCATTTTCTTTATCTTCTCATTTTGAAGCAACAGGATGAAATAATTGCTAGATATGAATGGACAGCAAGCATCTACTTCCATCTAGTGGTTCATGGATGTCACAAATGTCTTACCCCTTAAGAAACAGTTTACTTCCTTTAAATTATTAGAACCAGATTAGGATTATAGGTTKTGTTAATTTTGACAACTACTTGACCAATTTTAGAAATATTTTAACACAGCTAATTTTCTGAGGCTAGAGAAATCTAGCAATCTAGATTTACCGCTCCTTGCATTTAAACCCTTTGTGTACACTTCAAATACTGCTCTCTCTGAATCTCAAAACTCTTATGCAAGGTTTAAGAACCATGCAGTTGAAGCAATCATGATGAAGCAGTCCCAAATTTTAGTAATAAGGAATGTTTGTACTTTGACTGAACTGGACCATGGAAGAGAGCAGCTTCCAGTAGTCTGTCTGGAGCTGACAACATTCCTAAGGTATCCAACTTTCAAGACAGGTTAGGAGAAAAACTTACATGGAAAGTGTGTGAGGTGGAGACTTAAAAAGTTATTTCACTTAATACATACATCATCATCAGAAAATATGCTCATTCTGCAAAACTGATTTAGTATTTGCATTAGGCCTCTGGGCAGAAATGGTATCAATTCACACCATTAAACTATGTATATGTAACCATGAACAAAAAGCCAGTTCCAGCCCCAGCAATACACAATGAACATTTTCCTCAATGCTCTTTAATGCACGGAAGAGTTTTCAAATAACAGTTATAAACCAGAACCTCTGAAAAAGCACAATGTAAAAATACTTCCTTCAACCTTTAATTTCCAAATACTTGGATTATAAGCAAAAAGCCAAAATGTATTTAAACTTACAAACAATGGAATAGCCATTCCTTCCAGCACACGCTGCTGCCAGTGTTCTCCCATCATGAGAGAAGCGGATGCAGAAACAGCCCATATCTCCACCTCGCAGGGAAAACAAGTGCTTGTTGGGTATGCGGCAAGCCTGGCTTTTCAGGGAAGAATTGGTAGGAATGTTAGCCATCCAATGTGYAAAACACACTCAAACACCTCACATGCAGAAGTTCTAAAAGGCTAGTAATATCTTAATAGAATTCCAAAGAAAAATTCAACATATTATAAACAGAGACAGTTTTGCAGCACAGGCCACATGAACCCCTGTTTCTGCCTCATTATTACAAACAACTAGCAAGTTTAAAAAAAAACAAACAAAACTACAACTGAAATTCTTTCCTTAATCTTAAGAAGTGCTTAATAATGCCTATCATCAAAAATGTAAGCTGTGGAGTTAGACTGCATGTCAAGCTTGTTTAACAATTCTAAGCACAACTTATAGTAATCTAAGGACTGCAGTGTGAAATCAGAAGCCCAACCATAGGCACTCAGACCTTTGGTCTACTACCAAATCACTTTTAGCATACCTCATCTGTATTTAAATATCTGACTTTTAAAGACAGAACTAGAAATGAAACATCTCAAAAAACTGAATCGGTACTTTAGTCCCCTTTCCTTTCTCCCAAAATATTACTTCTTTATGACCCAACAGCTTTTTCTCCAAAACTAAATTMAAAGTTAAAGATGAAGGACAATATCCACAGTAGTTATGTGGTTTTTCAATGTAAGCTCTTTCTGTTACAGTGTAAAAATGTCTTCAACAAACAAAAAGAAARGTCAAGAAAATATATTTCTAATCAAGCTGAAATCTGAGAACTGGTTTCCTGTCTTACTTCCATTATCTGAATAATGCTACTCTTTCAAATTCTTCGAGAATTCTGCAAATAAAAATACCTGGCTATTTGGGTGATAAAATGGTTAAATCAACCATATTTGCCAAGATTAAGCCTCCTTTACTATCTATGAGGGTCTTTTAATATTTTGTTTAATATTTTTTCTTAATTACTTTAATTAATTACATGCTTCATAAGACTTAAAAAAAGAAAGTTAGCACAATACAGTAAATAATTAAATCACTTTCATTTAAAATTCAAAGAAAAACATTTCACCTGTCCAGGCAATCTTGACCATTTAAATGGTTCCTTTTTCTCCTCTGAAGAAGGTTCACATCCTTCTCTCTGGCGCTCAGACAGTGCTGTATTAATTTGTTCCTTTTGAGCAGCTTCCATAGAGTGAAAAGAAGGACCAACCTTAAGGCAAAGAARACTAAGTATCAGGGAAAATTTTTTTTAAGTGAAAAATGTAATTCCTGAAAAGGTTAAAAGGTACTTTTAAATTAAAATGTTTTGCATTTTTACATCTGAAACACAGAGATTGGAAAAATTCATAAAAACTGCATTGCAAAATGCCATTTAAAGTCATGGGGAAGTCAGAAAGTAATACAAGCTTCCAAAGTTGTGTCAATCAAATGGCATCACAGATTTTTCAAAKAATTGAGACCTTTAATTGATTGTAACGATTGAGGTCAGTGAAAATTAGAATTACTCTACTATTGTATTGTACCACTGCGAATATCCACATCTCACCAGGCTTCCACAGATCACCCTTGATTGTACAAAAGTAGAAGAGTAGAAGAAATTATTACAGCTCTAAATACAAATGGGAAATTATAAAAAGAACAATAGTGTACTTGCATTGTAGAAAAGGAAATGCTGTATTTATCTTGAATGCCCATCTCAGCATATACCAGTGTAAGCCTGTCTTTAAAGAAGCTTGCATTTGAAAAAAGAAGTACAACTYAATACAGCTAGAGGGTGCAGGGAATCAGAGTTAAGTCACTTGCATCTTTTCTCAAAGAATTTACACACCTGCAGGAGTCCAATGACTTAAAATGGCATTTCTGCTACTAAGAATGAACATTAATCTTTAAGAAAGTACTCTGAAAATTTTGTGTCAGTGGCAAAATAATATTCAAAGTTGTTGGAGGGAAAGTATGTCTATTTTAAAAAGATACCAAGAAGGGCTGAGTTTGAAACACCTATCTTGAGATGTAACGTTTTTATTACGTATTTTATATGCTGCATGTAAGCACAGCTTTTATACACATGCATACAAACACAGATTCACATGCTCTACCTAGATATTAGTTCCTGCAGGAAAGTCTGCATATTTGCAAATGTATTTATACATTATATATTTAACTTACATGATCTGGTGGTTTTAGGCCTTTTACAGTTATGTATAAAGTTGATGGGTACCGATTTCTRGGACATTTTGCCCACCAGTCATAAACCTCAACAGTATTTGAATGTGACTTGGTCCTTGAAGGTGGATAATATAATTGTAGACGAAGTTTTCCACCAACGTTTAAAACTCCATTTGCACCTACAAGCTGGAAGGGTGATTCAAAAGACAAGAGAGGGGAAAAAAAGAACATAAAAGTAATTCATGACTTGTAGTATCTTAACTACAGCATAAACTCTTGAAATCCTCTTCCCATTGGAGATATATACTAACTCCAAAAAAACTAATGAGCTACGCATGCATTACATACCCCAGTAATCAAATTGCTAAGATTAAAGCTTAGATGGCAGCCTAGTTTTGAAAGATGCTTYACAGCAGTAATATCTTGCAAGTGGAAGACCTCTGCAATATCACTTTTTAAAAATTACTACTTGCTAGAATCAACTAAATCTCAAAGGACTGYCAATCCACAAACAGCTTCTTCCAAATCTGTCCTCTTTGAATGCTGCAACAAAGGGCATTGGTAAGGCTTTGGCTCAGAGCAGAAGAGACAGCAATGCAGTAACCACTCCAACTTCAGAAGAGACAAGAGTCCTCTCTTATTGAACTGAAGAATAAGTGTACCTACTGCCATTAACACACATCAATGTTTAACTGGGACATTTCTACTTTGACTGACACAGATGAAAGGATAATKCAGGCAGATGCAGTAAGAATGAACAATAGGCAACAATTTTATTCATATTTATAAGCTGAAAACTAATTCATCCCTCTGTTCAGRAGTASGCTGTACTGAATGCCTGCTCCCACCCAGACATGGGATACCAGATCCCTGATTTCAGTCGATTTTTCTTGGGCAGAGCTCAGGAGAATCTCTGTATTGAATTGCTGTGAAGGTCCCCATCCCTTCACCTAAACTTGCAGTCCATTGTCTTATCCTGTACCAAACTTCCTGTATGTTGTGGAGTGCTGAATGACTGTTAATGACTACCASCCACAGGAGTAGGTGTRAATAAACAATCTTCAKGGAAATTGAAGWTTGTCAGCTCTCAAAAAACAAATTGATACATTCAAATCTCTCTTAAAAGGGCAGAAAGGTGATGGCTAAATTACCCATATCTCACATTTGGCACATTGGTATCTTAAATGCCACAGCATTTCAAACTCTGCAACTGAAAATGAGAATCATTTTATGATCAGGTAAGACTTTTCAAAGACTGGATGACTGACAATGGCACTAGAATACAGAACAGCTGAGGTACAGAAATTAGTGGATTTTTAATTTTCTTCACAATCCCATGAACACAAAGAAAACCTAAAAGAAAACAACCTTCAATACTTCATGATCAAAGAAAAATCATACACATTCTATACTTTCTCGAAAAGCACATATTCTTCATCTATCCTGCTGAAAATAATGAAAAATGCTTTCCTACTTAGTACAGTTAGAGATATTCAGATAAAAGGATTTAAAAATTTTGTTTCTTCATTTAAATGTTTACAATACCTTTAGAAATGCCCAACAAATTTTTCGGTAACGAYCTTCCTGAATTTGCACATCAGAGTTGGCTCTCACTTCATGCATACTTGGAGAATCAAGGACCTAGAAGTATCAGCAGGAATATATTTCTAATGAATATGTAGTTCACAGTAATGAAAAAAACCAAACTGCTGAAAACACGCTTGGTGCAATTCACTCAATTAAACAGATTTAAATTTTAGGAAGTAATAAAAACAGTGTTTCTTCCATACAAATATATGAAATTAAGAATAACAGATCCTTATGCATTTATGTGATGACTATTTATGATCTGCATTAAAAAAGAAAACGTCTAGTCTTAAATAAACCTATCCTTGCTCCCCTTATGTCTCAATAAAAGAGGAAAACCAATAATGTGTAATTTTCTTAATAGCTCAGAAATTACATAGATCACAAATCTGACAGCTAAAATCAGCTGCATATTAATTTAGATGGAAAATGGCAGTCAAAAAGTCAGTATTCCTCTCCCATCTTTATCAGTTTTGTCATATAATCAGTCATAGAATAGTTTGGGTTGGATGGAACWGAATTCTGACCCACGAGCTTAGACATCTTTTACTAGCGCAGGCTSCTCAAAGCCCCCTCCAACCTTGCCTTGAAYATTYCCAGGGATGCCCACGAGAGCCTTAATTTTTCTGTCAGGGACCAGAATTTTCTCTTATTTAGCTACTCCTGAACGTTTATTTGGTATACAAAAAAAAAAAACCCTAGAATCATGCTTTCTTCAAATTCATTTTTCATAGATCACACTGAAGTCAAACAGCCTTCTTTCAGTGTAATCATACTTTTGGTCCCCACATTAGTGTGATTTCCATGAAGAATCTTTAAATATACATATAATTAGTTCTGTGTTAAGCAACTAAGGACTCTTAATTCTATAAATGTGTTCATTTATAAGCATCACAAAAGATTAAGAAACATATGGTAATAAATGATATTCAATCTATTTGAATAGGAAAAAAAATGGGGACTGAAAAGTAATCCTATTAGGTTCCCATTTGAAGGTTAATACTACAGAATCTCTCTGTACAGATATTGAAATACTTAAGCTCAAAATTACATTTTATTATATAACTTAATATTTTTCYTTTAAACATAATTGTATTGGAGGACAAATTAATAGTTGCTTTATGAAGACAGGGGTAGGAGAGGTAGATGTGTAAAATGTTAATACGAACAATGCAATAGCTTGCTCCTGGGTACAATGAGGTGCTGCTACATGCAGACAAAYTCTACCTTTCTTGTACTTAAACCTCTTTTCAGATTTCAAGAATGTGAAAAGAGTGATAKCCTCCATATCTTACCAGTCTTTCCTGGAAGTCTGAGAGCTGATTTTGTAAGAATGTTTCATATTCCTTATTACTATGAAAACAGGAACCTTTTCTATAATAAAAACCCCACTTTTTGGTATCTCTACTTGATTTTGTACCTTAAAAGCTATGCTGTTCACCTAGCTTAACCAAAATAAAACACCTGAGTAAGTCAAATATATACTGCTGAAGAAACAAACCAAAAATCAGAATATGCATAAATTGRATGCAAAACATTCAACCTTACCTCAAAAAATAGGATAACCTGAGGGTTTTCCTCAGTGTTTTGAATAAAATAAGTAAAACGCTCATTAAATATTACTTGCTCTTCCCACTCTGGAATTGTTGATTTAGACTTTCTAAAGTCACATGGYTGTGTCATAATAGGAAGAATGTGATCTATTTCTTCTTGTTCATAAGATGAAACTTCCCTCTGGCTGCTTGAAAATTTCAAAAGAATTACAATTGTTAGAGCACTTAAAAAACAACCTCAGACAAGACATTTTAATTTACTGAAAGCAAAAAAACATATAAGATACTATTTGTTTAATTCTAGAAAACATCTTCTAAACCCACCCAAAATTTAAGACTATTTGCAGTGTATAYAGAAAAACAACAGGCTGAAGTTCAAAAGCCTAACCATTAAGTTACTCTTAGCAAATTTATGCAYAATGATCAAGGTGGAGTCTACTGCTTAAACCCCATCAAAATTTGGTTTCAGGAGCATTATATATAATAACAGTGGGAATAAGTAACTGATAATTAGAAATATAAAGAACTGAATTTTATTTAAAGATTTTAAAAGTCCTTAATAAAGAAGAAAAGGCAGATRCTATTTATACTACAAAAAGTTTGCTTACTTATTCTAATCTTGGCTTTTACRTATTTTTGAGACTTAAGAAATTTTATCTCTGGAAAGAATACAGAATGAACTGTGCTGCAAATRTCACAGGTTCACAGAATATACTGAGTTGGAAGGGACCCACAAGAACAGAGTTCAGCTCATGGCTCTGCACAGGGCCATCCCTATGTGACACCATGTGCATGGGAGCATTGTCCAAACACTTCTTCARCTCTGTCAGGCTGGTGGTTTGACAACTGCCCTAGAGAGCCTTGAAACAGCAGTGCAGAGCATTCAAAAGAGCCAAAAGRAAAATAAAAGTATCACCCTCATTTATTGTAGGTACATATGTATATACATTATCATCGATGCAGAACTAATGAACAACTACACAAGCATAAAATTTCCCATTGTTTTCAGTTTCATATTTCATTTTCTAGGGAAGAGTATACCTATTATTATAATCACTGATAACAGAAATAGTTTATTAAAACTCACCTGTAATCCTTCTTGACATATAAGCCACTTCTCTGATCAACAATATGGATTTTAACCACAGGATTAGATACCAAGTGATGAATTTTAAGTTGATCCGATCGATGAACATAAACTCCCAAAACAAGATCATCATCAAAATCAAATTTAGACTGAGTTGAAATTTCTGAATTCCTAATTTCCTCATCATTTTCTACAGCAACATCTGTGGTTTCTTCTAGAAATGTGAAAAAACAAACTGTCAGTACAGGAACATGGTAACTTCTACATCTCAACTCAAAACTATTTATAGCAAATGAATTTTCAAGATTTTAGATTGATTTATCAAATAAACTTCCTCAGAAATTAGCCTCAGAATTTGAAGAACAAAAGTACAATTAAGTAACTAAAGAAATACAAATAACTCACAGCTCAATCACTTCTGTGTTACTACTACGGACAAATATTTCTACAACAGCACCAAAAAGACAGCACAGCAAAGTAGTGCAGCATTCTAACATTTTGTTGGCAGACCTTTTCTGGTTTTCTTCTTAGCCTTCTTGGCTTTAGGTTTCTGTTTATCCATGCTTTCCTCCAGTTTCTGTCCTTCTGATGTAAACAGTCTTTCAAATGACTGATTTTCATTGCCACCTTCTTCTGGATGATGCTGCAGTTCAGAAAGGGACATTGCACTGCAAAGCAATGGATCACTGTCAGCAACTGCAGTCCAGTGCATACATTGACACAATTACTCTCTGCCACTATTAATCCACTTGAAATTCTGCAACTCATCATCTGAATATCTTGAAAATATAACAGCCCCCACCCCCATTAGTGTCTTGCCTTTTTCACTGCTCTCCCCCCTTCATTTCCCCCTAATTTCCAGACAATTGCAGAACCATTTATGTGAATAGTTAAGCTAATACTCTTTCGTTGGATCAGTGCCATCACTTATCACAAAAAAAAAAACCCAAAACCAACTTAAGATAGCTCTGTGCATGATTAAGAGTRAGTCCACAGCAAACAAACATCAAATAGCAATGGAGGATTGTTTAAAAAAAAGTAAAAAGAATCCGTGAGCTAAATATTAATCATGACAGCCTTTTGAGAAAGGATTTGGTACTATTTTTTTCATAACAATCATCCAGTTAATCACTTAGAAAATATGAACAATTTATCAGAAAGCTTCTGCCTATCTTAAAATCACACATTTTACTTAAGATTCACAGTGTACAGTTTGTCATGTTACCTTGTTTCAGCTTCACTTAAAACTGCTTGCTCTTTCTTCTTYTTCTTCTTTTTGCCCACTTCATTATTCAATGCAACTTCATGCCTTTGAACAGTGAAGGTAGATTCAGACATCTGTTCTTTAAGTTTCTTTCTCATTTTCTTTCTAATTGCATTTGCTTCTTCCTCAGCCACATGCAGCTGATAGGCTTGAATTAGCTCCTCTTCTTCTTCTAGTTCAGTTACATTTCTCACTTCTGTCAAGGAATTTTTGATCTTTCTATCACCTTCTTGATGAGGTACATCTGTTGGTGATTTACTTTTTGTTTTCTTCTTTGGAAAATCATTAGTCTTTTTTTCAAAACTATCCAATTTAGCTTCATATAAATCTTCTTCCTCATTAAATTCTTCTTGTAACAGTGACTTCTTTTTCTTTCTGTTGGATTTTGGCTGCTTGTTCTCCTCTCCACTAACAACATCATTGTTTATTTTCTCTGCAATTGATGCTTTCTCTCTCAATTTATTTTTAGTAAATCTGGGGCTCTCTTCTTCAGGATTATATGTGTTGTTTATAATTGCTTCATCATTCACACTTTCCTTAGATAGATCAATATTATTTCTAAAGGTATCAAGCTATAAATGAAAAGAACATAAAACATAGTTGTACTAAAAATCATTCTCTAAACATTGCACTTCATTTTATTCTTTCAGCAACATTAGACAAASTAAAATTAAATCAAAGATCTAGTTATTTTGTTGTTTCAATCTGACAAGTGACAGATTGAAAGTCAACASAAAATTCACACTGAAAAAAGCATTTGGCATTTGGGCACCTCATTCTCAATGTTTCACTATGTTTTCATATGACTTTTATGTATATCTAGTAGAAAACAGAAATTAACAAGTCTACTTCACAAACAGATGCCAATGTTTTACACTATGGGGGATGCAAAGGCTACATTGCAGCACAAAAACAAATAATTTTCATCCACTGAAAATCCAAGTTAGAGACAGATTTCAGGTWTGGCYGTTTGTAGTTTCTTGAAGCTGCTTRTCAGAACTAAATTTCAGCTAATGCTTTTGTTTGAGTATTTCTTCTGCTAATTTTCAGTGGTTTTATAGAAAATGCATTGTAAACTTGCCCCTCTCCCTCAAGTTTCTGATTACTAAAGGTTGTTGGTTGTAAAATGCCAACTCCTTACCTCCTTGGATATGTTCAAGGTCACATTAGAAGGGGCTCTGAGCAACCTGATCTAGTCAAAGATATTCCTGATCATGGCAGGGAATTTGGGTTAGATCACCTTAAAGGTCCCTTTCAATCCAAACTATGATTCTACAGTAAGCAAGCAACTGAGGTCTAATTCTGTGATGAGGTCAACAGAGATCTCTGTTCCTCAAGGTAACTTTTATAAAGTCACTGARGTTCATTTACTCTGTTGTCTTACAGAAAACTGTTACCAGTCTCAACATGAAACATTAGAAAGGGCTTTGAAACGCAATGAAAGTTTGGAGAAAATGTATGTATCTGCATACAAAGTTTTATTTGCCAAGACCTTCTTCCTCAGTAAACACATTGTTCCCTTCTAGTCGGGATACTTCTCCCTGTTAAATCATGCTTGCCTCAAACASTTCTAAAGAGGGACAGTATGTGTASTAAGTAWGAAAAAATTGTCCTTGTATCTTCATCYTTTACTTGCTTACACAAACCATTAACATATTTATTTGTAAATCAAGAATTCAAGCAGATATGGAAAATTTCATATAAATAACTTGAAATACAGAGTATCGATTCTATCTTATCAAGAGTAAAGAAAATAATTAAAGCATCAGGTTTTGTATAAAACAAAACAAAATAATAATGCTTCCTAATAGATAGTCCACTTCCTTTTCTTTATTTTTATGACTAACTTTAACTGCAGTGTATGAGAAACTAAGACCCAACAGTGGCCAAAAACTAAGGTCATACTGATTTTTGTCTTTGCTAGAACATCAATCCACTAAGCACRAGTAGCATGATTGTTTGAGAAATTCTAAACAAAAAGCCCTCATCTTTGACCTGGACAAGAGTTTATAAAAGAACTGTGAAATTCAAGAATAATCCCCTTAAAGGAGTCTACCTGCAAAAACTAGCTTGAAATATTTACTAGAACTTGTTATTTCTTACTGCCTACAAAGAAAAARTCATAGAATCATTCAGGTTGGAAAAGGCCTCTAAGATCAAGTCCAACCATTAGCCCAGCATCACCATGTTCACCACTAARCCGTATTCCCACAAGTGCCACATTCACATGGCTSTTGAACAGTTCTAGGAGTGGTGACTCCATCATTTCCTTGGGTGGCCACTTCCAATGTCTGACTATCCTTTCTATGGAAAACTTTTTCCTAACACCTAAACTTTGAGGCCATTTCCCTATAATGAAAACAAACCACAATTTCAAATTACAGCAAATTCTAGGAACATTGATAGATCTGAAGCAGCTTTATGCTGCGTGCAGTAAGTTCAAACATAAATTCCTCAGATAAATAGCCTGTATGACCTTAATTCAGGCCACTTTCTCCACATGCTGTAATTACATTACATAATTAAACAGAGAGGAAAGATGTGAAGCTACAAAACAACAAAGTAAAAGCCAAGAGGTTCATAAAAACCTTTAGATTAGGACTCAGGCAGAGGTGGGGATATTGGTATAGATTCTCTGTCTGACAGGACTGAGATACCAACTAAGAGCAACCATCAATTTAAAAAAAACAATAACCTGAGTTAGAGAAAGGAGTTAGGCTGAAAAAGCAGCACAGAAAGACATGCCTGTCTCTGGAGTAACTCCAGAGGGTTGCTGACCTGAACCTTTCTCAGCCTAAAACATGGAAAAAATAAGGTGGCTTTGTTTCAAAACAGCTCCATGGCCACATTACAGCACCAGGGCAGAGGAAGCACTCTCCCGTGACACTAACCTTGCTTGTTCTATGGCTTGAGAGGAGCAGGAGATGGGCGCCAGCCAAGGTGCACGCACTTGGCTGACACTCAAGGCTCACACCATAAGTAGCCAACCCCAGGTCACATCACTGCCATTCGTGACCCAGAGCTGACAGCAGGCACAACACCCAGCAATCTTACACCTTTTGAGAAGGGATTCTCAAATACACGAGTGGAAGCTGGCAAAATACTGAGTTTGTCATGGGTATTTGGAAACTGGTATAACCAGAATTTACAGAGATACCTGAATTTCTGCCCACAGCATGGGCACACCTTGAAAAATGAGGGATGGACACTGCCAACTCACTGAAGCTGATATGCACCGGCTGTAAAAGATCATTTACGTACAACTGAATTGATGATGAACCTGAGTGACCAATGCCTGYCCATCCCAATATTTTAATCTGATCAGACTGCAGCCTAGGGAATAATTTTTTGCCTCCATAAATGGATCTTCCTTTTCAACTGGTAGAAAAATCACATTGACCGTTTTAAACATCCTCTTTTCTACCACGGAATTTAGATTAAACCTAATAAATTCAATCTTTTTCATACTGACTTCAGACAGATTAATGTACCTGGACATTGCTTGATCTGAGGCTTGACTCATTCTAATAAGCTGTAATAGGAGGCACAACTGGTAAAAACAATATATGGTGATGACCTAGAAGGGATGCTAGCAAATCCACTTTCTGACTGTGTCTCAATTGTTTGGTTTCTCCACCATCCCTTTAGGTTTCACACCCACTGCCCCAGTGGCTAATGAAGTGAGCTTTCACTGGCCACAGCTGATGTATATTTCCATCTCTCTATTACAAGCCCTCATTCCTACCAGTTGTGGCTTCAAACTCACCCTGCCCTACAAATATCAATCTTTCCTCTTCCAYCCAGATTGCTTCCCTGCTCTCCAGGCAGGCTTTCCAGGAAATGGGCACAGAGCAGAGAAGGCAAGCAGGCAGGCACTCTCCTTAGCCTACTTCTATCACTGAAAACCACAGAAACATCCTGTGGCTTCAGGACTCAGGTTTCAAACAAACAGTGGAACAAACAGTGGACTATAAGGGAAAAAGTCTTATTAATCTTTAAGAAAGGCTAGAACAAAGACAAAGAAAGGAATCAGACTGGAACATTTCAAGTGGAAATAGGCTCTGAACCATGACCTGTTTCTGGTCAAAGCTGGGAGACCATTTATGGGCAAGTGCGTGACACAAAGCCAAGCATCACTTGACAAATTTAACATTTCAAGATATGTGAAACTCTATACAGTTAATTGATACGAACTGAAGAGAATGGGAACAAAACCAGCCAACCTCCTCCGYCTACCTACTCTTCCACTCCTGCACACATTTATTTCTTACAGAGAAATGACTGTTCATTTGCTGAAGCGTTTACAGAAATTTCTTCTTGAATGCAACCAGCATGGAAAATACCAATACCATGGAAAATACCAGTCTGATTCCTTTCTGAGCTCCTGCAACTTTGTCARCCTTTAAGGAAATACTCCAAACGGTCAGTTGTAAGTTTCAATAGAACTTCTGCTCAAGTTATTAGTTTTTCAGTGCTTTGATGGGTAAAAATCTACAGCTTCAACAAAGCCAGAAATTTGGGTTTCCACACTGATCCTAAAAGTGCTTCTTAATTTGCTTGCATACCAGTAAGTTTTGATTCAGACCACTGCGATTTTAAATGCTTCTACATAACTTCAAAACACTAGTTTTTACATCAGAGACTTCTGGAATAGAAACCAATTTTAAAACCAAAGCAAATTTAAAATATTTATGAGTAATATGTAGTTGCATATGAAAAYACGATTACATACTCAAAAATAACTATAAATTAATGGATTTTATTAATTCATTTTAATAAATTCATAATTAATTTTAAATTTAATGCATTAAAAATTCACATTTCATAAAGAAGTAAACTTAACTGAAGAATTTAGTCTTTTATTTACATATATGCTAACAAAAAAGGAAAGAAAAACACCCTCTAACACTCTGTGCAGTTTTTTAGACACCAAGTTTTTTGTTTGTATAGACTATTGACAACCACTTACATCAAGGAATTTTTAAAAATCCACACAAAATCCAACTTCAAATTGTGAATCTAAGACCAAAGAGTAATAATAAGTTTAATATATCTATTCTGAATATACTTATATATAACTACATGTAATTTTTATGATAATACATAAAATACCACTCAATTGTCTTAAATGAGTATTAAAGAAGGAACTTATATCCAGAATCTTATATGGATACAATTGTAAGAAAAAGACTGAAAACATAAAACCTAACATGAAGAAAATAAAAAACCAGAACATTTGTCTTCGAAGCAAATTGCTTTCTTTCCAAATTCCAAATCTTCCATGTCAACAATCAGGTGTATATAGACTCATATTGAACTTCTATTCTCCTCTTCAGGAAAAAGACTACAAAGTGAACCTTAACTCAGAGGAATTTCTGATGCTATTTTAATGACAGATATGCCACAAACAAAAAAGTCATCTAACTAAATAGTCAGGATAGAAACCTTCCTAATCTGCAAAGTGGCAAGCTAAGGTCAAAATCTTTTTAAAAAGTCGACACATGAACACAGAACCACTCAAGACACAAAACTCAGGACATGCAGAAATTCATGTCCTGATTACTGAGATCAAACTGAAAAAAAAAAMYTGAAAATGGAATAGTTAATTATAATCTCTAATATTATTATACTTTCTCATCAGCTCTCAATTCACAGCTTTATTAGACAGACATACCTGTATCACATAGATGTAGTACACTCAAAATTAAATCCTTTCACGGATATAATTCTACTGCCCCTCAAACATCTCATTAACTCCCAGCAAAAGCAGTACTGAATTTGAAAAATTTTATGAAAAAAGGTAATGGACAGAAAAATACTGGTAGACATTAAACAAGTGCGTGCCCACATGTGTCATTTTCTTTTTACCAGTATTATAGTCTATATCATTTTGGCATACTTACATGTTACAAGGAYGCACTGCTAGTACACAAACAAAAATAAAAGCCACACCGTAAACAAGAGATACGTGCAGAAACATACTTTACACTTTATTTTTTTAAAAATGTTTACATCTCCTTTTTACATTACATTTTCRTATTTTTTCTGTTAAAGAAGGCAACCAAACAAAGCCTGCATGTGTTCTAACTCACCACAATACTCTCTTGAGATTCAAACTTTTTTTYCTTCGGTTTCTTTGCATCTACTAGGCTAGCATGGCGTCTGAAGATTTCCTCAAAGCGGACTTTGGTTTTTGCCTTTGCCTCACTTTCAACTGCAAAAAGAAATGGAGAGTATGATTCACTACCTCRATAACCAACGTTGCTAAAACAAGTGCATAATCATGCTTTAAAATTGCAAAGGATGAGAATTATTTATATGGAAAGTTTACCAACAAATTCCCATAGTATTCAGTTAAGAATTTCCACTGACAACATAACCCATACAAGGATAACACTGTAGATTTGCATGGACACACACACTAATCTTTCACTTGGTGCTGAAGTCAGCACCATCTACTGTTTCTGGAAGAAAGCACATTTGGAAGAGCACGCACATCAAATCGGCACAAAACTTGGCCTAGCRAAAGCAGAGGATGAATTATTGCCCTCCTGCTTTATGAGCAGAGYTAACACACTGATTTCCAGAAGTAGCAGCTCTGGGTTCTTACTGGGTCTAGAACCCAGAGAAGCACCATCCTGAGACAGACCTGTAAGAGCCAGGAGCTGCCACTCTGCCTTTCTGTAAATGATACTGCCACCAGCAGCATTTCAACACTTGATGCAGTAGGTGTTCTAACCCCCCTCAGGTAATGCCTTATTTGTAGCTAAGAATTCAAAATGCAACCAGGCACACCACTGAAAAAGGCTGTCAAATCCTCAGCTACAGCATAATTATCACTGTCATTACAATTTTTAAACCCTGAATTTCAAACAAAGAAAAACAAAACACCACTTTGAGAATCAGCTACAAACATGCACTCAAAAAGAAGCCAATGCAGCATTAAAAATTAATACAAAAGTAACTTCTATCATTTGCATCTAACTACAAAATATGTACCAGAAAACAAACATAAAGTACCCTTACCGGCTGGCATTTTCAGTCCTCAGTTAGAAGTGGCTCAACACAACAGCTGCTTCTTCCTCAGAATTCACCATTCTATTTAAAACATTTAACAACTTTCATTAGCCTAAGCGGTCCATAGACTTGGAGTTAATAATTTAATCTGTGCTAATTAATATTAGGGATGAGTACATTTTATTTTAGAAATAAATATTACCCTATTTGTCTAAATCATTGTAAGTTTTCCACCATCAAATGCCAGCTCTGATACTTATTATTTGAGGGTWAATAAAAAACAACACTACAGAAGTTTAATTAGATAAAATACTGGGCAGTAGCTAAATAATTGAGCACAGCAGCCCTCCAACCTTCTAAAAAAGCCAACAGTTTTTTAAATAATAATGACCCATGAAACCATTTATGTTGGAGYCTTTTCAATCAGATGCCTATCCTGACAGCATCATTGAGGAAGGCACATTGTAGACAGCTGATAGTTTTCAATATAAAGGGTAGTATCTGCAAGCAAATCTAACTTTATTACAAATCTCTAAATATTTATGTTTACATAAAGCATTTGYATTTTTCATGAAGTAGACAAGCAACTACATGAAACTCATTTCTCTAAAGAAAAAAAAAAAAGTTACGCCCTCCTGGTTGTGAAGAAAAGCCTGCAAATGCACTCCAAACAAAGCTTGAAGGCAAATAAAAGTATTACACAGCTTTATCTTTTTATCAAGAAAATTCAGACTGTTCTACAAAACACATTAATACAAAGAGCTGTTTTGTAAACAGTCAAACTAATGAAATGTAGTTCCTATGAAGGTGTGATGTTTCCCTTAGCCTTCCATACAATGAACTCTGGTACTTACGTACCCCACAGCCCATAAGGTAACAGCCCCAAGTTCTCACTAGGTGACACCTCCTGCTAGACACCAGTAACTCACATTCACTGGATACCCAGACTGTACTGATCCTAACAAATTAAGACAGAGCATTAAATATTGCCAGGACGTGTGGTTGCATTATTCTCACACTGTTTTGGTCCAAGYCACTTAACACTCACCCAGACTATGCCTGGATACAGCTCAAGAGTTACTGTGGATCACTATCAAAACGCAGTTTGCATGCAGCCGCTCTGCTTGGAGGCTGAGGGAGTTATCAAGAGTGAAGTGATCCAAACATAGCACTTGGCCTCAGCATTAAAAATCCGAGGCATACACCAGCACACCAGCACAGGAAAGAGCTGAGGATACACTTGGGTCCCCAAGTATCTGCACTTTGAAACCCTCACATCTCTCTCATCTCTTTCAGTGTTATTCGCACAGGCCTGTTACTTTCAGGTAATTTCACAGTCATTACTTACAATGCTTTGGTCTGCTGGCTATGCAAACTAAACCAAATCAAGGAAAAGAAGGCAAAGTTGGTTTGGGATTACAGAGGAGCTGATCAGTCAGATGCCAACACTAATTAGTGTACTTAATGTCTTCAGCATTTATACTAAGTATCCAACAATCTAARGATGTTTTAAAAGAGCAAGGATGGCCAAATGGACTTCACTGGAAGAAAAAAAAAAAGTTTAATTTTGCAATATGGCTCAAAATGACACTTAYGAGGTTTTAATATTTTAATTATCTTAAACATGTTCTTACTCCTAAAGCAAAGCTTTACTGTCATAACTAAATCAGTAAATGAAAAGAGAAAACACCGTTGAAATRTAAAACTGCTTTTGCAATTTATACTTACTTACATTAAATGGGCATTTAAAAATTACTACAGTTACTAAGTGCTGCTTTCCAAGTAGGCAAATCACAATTGGATAAAAAGCACACAATTTAGAAGAGCAGAAAACTAACCATGCTTATAAAATACAGCAGGTTCTGTCACTTTAATCACTGACTGAGAACCACAGGAACTGGAAATTCTTAGTTAAGTGATTTCAACAAGCCCTCAAAAACTAATTACAGACAAGAAATTAAATGCTCAAAGGTTCTTAAATTTAAAGAAAAAAAAATATGAGAGAAAATATAGAACACAAAAGTAAAATGAGGAAAGTGCATACCTATTCTACATATGGAAATAAGTTTACAGTCAAAGGTTAAATAAATTAGTGTATGAGAAAACCAACCAACCTATGGGTTGGTAAAAAAAATTAAATTTGCAGATACTTTTGATTATAATGGAGCATCTTACCAAGGGCCAGGGCCACCTCACATCTAGAAGCACTCTCTTTAAAATGCAGAATTTCCAAAATTCTGTGCATCACTGTTTACTTATGCAGTAAGTGCCTCCACTGTTGTGGCAATAAAATTAATAGATAAAGTCCTATAATGACAGTGCTATTATTTAACATGCATTTCCAATTTAGAATTTCATGATCTTTGACATGGTCCATTAAAGCAACTATCAGGCTTATGTAAATATAGATCATTAATCAACAAGGATAAGAACAAGGCTGTTTACTTRGAGTAATCTCACCTTAGAATAGGAGAGATTTAATCGTATATCGAAGTTCAGCAACCACCATGCCCCAACCTAAGGCACTCAGTTATCACTTATTTTGTAAAACGCATTTTTACCCTATCAGATTGGATCTCTTCCATGTTAGTAAATATAAGACAATCCAGGACTAACAAAACCACATACCAAGAATAGTGGCATATTCCAGCCACTAGGAAAAAGGGGAAACAAAATCAGAAAACCCAAACTTCTAAGAATTACTACACTGTCCTGAAAATAACCGAGTTTGCTCTTCTCCAATATTCCATCTGTATTTTTAAAAGTGATTCCACATTAAACTCTTGCTCTTGTCACAATATTTTACAATACTCACTGAGTTGCTATATTCTGCATCTGTAATACAGGGATTCTCWATGCTAAACATGCCACAAAGGTTACCATACACGAAACTCACTTTTGCTGGCCATTAAGAAGAGATATAAATCAAACCTATGCTATAATGAGCAGAATATCTACAGAGTTTGCACTACATAACGGAAAGTGACAAATTCCTAATTATGACCATCTAGGAAACTGAGCTGACAAAATAGAACTTCATGCTTAGGATCTTCCTGAACTAAATTCCTCCTTTTTCTTTTGTTGCAGTTAAGTGACTGTAAAYCCCACCGGCTGAAAGCAAGTAGAACATCAGGCCTTGTTTACTTCTCCATCTTTTAGATCATAGAGGGAAATCCTGGTTTTTACTGGGAAATTTCTAATTAAGCTACATGTAGGGATAACTACTTTGAGATGTGAAAGACCTTCAACAYAGAATTATACAGCAAAATAACACGGAGATGAATCTGGTCCTCTTCACTATTGAGAAATCTGACATAAAAAAAAAAATCTGGTTTTATTAATAAAAATACAGTATTTAAGCCCAGAAAATTGACAGACAGCTTTAGCAGACAGACCAGGTAAACACCTCTGTCCTTGCTTATCAAATAAACACTAATAAAAGTGMGGTASTTTTTTCTACCAGTTAGGATGTCCCTGTAAAAACCTTGTGCTCATACCAATTTTAAAAGATATTTTWAAAAACCTGGTGCTACCCTTAGTTTTCTAGGATTAACATATCAGAAAATTTTTGCTTCAGAGGAACTGTTGCGTTTTTCCCCCCAGAAATTTGGCTCCTTTCGTCAAGACAAAGTTGCAAACAGACTGTCTGCCCTGATGGCAAAATTACGGACTTCAGCTCTAGGTAAGGAAATACAGCCAACTTTTATTAAGTTTTATGTATCTGCCTTAACTTAGGTGGTAATTATGAAAATGTGTTCTCAGCAAGACCCACCACACACCACAACCGGACTAACCGATGGGATCATTCAACGAGGATGTGATGTGCACCCAGATGTGCATTCCTCATGCGAGGGACGCATCCCCGCTTCGGAGTCCAAGGTGCCAGGCATGGAGAAGCACTGTCCGTTCACTATAAACTGCCCACGCACGCAATGTCACCCGAGTGAACCGTAAAGCCCGTAAAGAGCGGGGGAAAACAGCACCGATCTGGGGATTAGGGCTACCCGCGGCACTGCCTCGTGCCACCGCGCCCCGCCGGGAGCAGACAGCGACAGCACGCGTGTGGCGCTAGGCCGCCTGTTCCGCCGGCCCCACAGGGTTACTCGGGGGTCACTCGGGGCGCCCTCGCCAGGTGCGCGATCCCCTCCCGCTACCCGCGCACCCCGACCCGCCCTGGCCGCCACCCAGCCCGCCCCGGCTCCCGCCGCTCCTGCTGCCCTCACTCCCGCCCCTGCTCCCGCCGCTCCTGCTGCCCTCAC